CCGTCACGCTTGCAGGGGATGGCTGAACTCAGAAAACTGGAGTCGGCAGCGTGTGGCTTTAACATCTCCTTACCTCACCCTTAACTCAGGTTGATCAGAAATGGCCGGCAGCGGCGACTGGTTTCACAGTGCTGGGACGCCCACCTGCCACCCCCTACAAAAGACACCTCTGCCAGCTGTGGCGACCAGGCAGGCGCCTCCGAAGGAGCTTTCTCGGCCTGTGGCGGTAAGGCCGCAACCGCCACCTCCTGAGGTCAGGGTGGCCCCAAACCCAGGTACAGCTCTTGGTTCATACGCTGGGATTACCTGATAAAATATGCTGTTGAAGCTAATGAAAGTAACCTTTGGGTTTTCTCTTTTTGGAAAGGATGCAACCCCCTGCTGCTTTTTCCTACCACTGTGTTTTCTGAAGGGACTTCTCCAGCAGAGAAGTCACTTAAGAAAACTTGAACTTTTTGCTTTTCTTGTGTCCTTTTTGTACTGGAAGTTTGTTAAGACATGTGTGTAGGGTGGGCTGTGTAGTCTGCAGTGTTCCAGGCACTGGAACAGGCTGCCCAGGGAGGTGGTGGAGTCACCATCCCTGGAGGCTTTCAAGGAATGTGTAGACATGGTGCTTGAGAACATGTCTAGTGGGTGCGGTAGTGTTGGGCTGGATGGTTGGACGGTCTTACAGGTCTTTTCCAACACGTGTGATAAGGTATAACTTACAGTCTGCAATTAAAAGTGCTGTAGAGGCAGTCAAAATACAGGGTATGTACTGCTGTGTGAATTTTCATAGCGATCGCTGACAAAAGTTTTAACTGCAGTTCCAGATGTCCCAGGATGCATTTTGAATTCTCTGTTTGAATAGTTTTACTGGCGTAAAGGCACCTGGAGGTAACAGTTGATTTTAGTTCTTGGCTGGGAGATACTTGTGCCTGAGTATATAGCAGCCCTGAAGCTGAATATTTCATCCATCCTAGAGTTGATACAGGGAGAAATACTTCATTTTTAAATCAAACTCAGTCAAAAAGAACACAGTGATCCTTTGCAGAAGCAGATGCTGTGGGAAATGTTAATTGGTTATTCTATAGGAGACCTCCAGGTCAGAGACAACTGTCCAGAAACAACGTGCTCGTGGGAAGAATCTGTCTTTCAAACAAAACTCAGAAGCGTGGGTTTGCCCTGGGATTATGTCTCAGAATTTATGAAAGTCTCTCATGCCTTGACTGCTCTGGGGGGACCCGCAGGTCGGGGTGGGTGAGCAGCACAGCTCTCCCGGTGTGCTGTCCTGCCCCCTCAGCCTCAGGTGCTCTTTCTGTGTTCAGCAGCTCTTTGTGGGTGGTTTTTTTTCCTTTGCATTAGGTACGTGCTTTTTTGAATAATGTGTGTGGTTGCTAAAACTTTTGTAGTGTCTTACGGAGTTCCACTGCTTTGTAGTTTTTAATCTGCCATCAGCAAGTTTGATCTGATTGTGGGTTTGTAAGGGAGGGGAGGGGGGAATATATGTTGTATTTGTGTGTAATGTCTGTCTGCGTTCAGAGGTCAGTGGATTTAGTGCTTTGATGCTTTTAGAAGAGGAGGTACGCAGTTTCAGCATCGCTAATATTGGTAATGTAGGATTCAATATGAAGCAATTCTGCTTTAAACGCTTTTGCTTTTTGTTCTTCTAAAAAGCATTTCTTGTGAACGGATTTAAACTGTCGGAGTGCATGTTCAGTTCTCCTCTGATGTTGTTTCAGAATGTTTTCTGCGGAAAGCAGCTCATGCATCCCCACTGCCAGCACTTCCTCCGGGGGATCACCTAGGGGAGTTGATTGCAAGATACAAACAGGGAGTAATAAACTCAGTGTCTGCCTTGCATCAGTTTGCACAAATGCACCGTGTACAGCTTGAATTGAAAGAAATAGCTGTGGCAGGTAAACGCTGCTTCTTTTATTAAATAAAATAATACTTGCTTATCCCTGAGATGAGTTGAATTTCTGCAGTTAGTATTGATGGCACTAATATAGATGGATTCCTTTTGCTTATTGTTGGCTGTACTCCCCTCCACGCGTGTTGCTTTCTGGCTGCCCTTTTGTTGCCTACACAGCTGTGTCTCATAATTAATGGCTACAGAACTGGATCAGGTGAACTGTAGAAAATTCTGGCTGCCTTTAGAACTTTGTGAAAAGTGCATAAAGTGAAAGCCGCCAAAATTCTTGTGGAGGTGAAAGGTTGGTATTGTATTTTGCTAAAGTTGTCTCTGTCTTGTCCTTGGAATTACAGTTAAGCACATAAAGCTATAGATAGAAGTACCTTAAAATAATTTGACTAATTATGTTTGCTTTTTTCTCTTTTAAAGGCAATATGATAAGGCCTTATTTTGCCTTCTGTGCTGTGGTAGACGGTGTTAGTTACAAGACTGGAATGGGAAAAACCAAGAAGGAATCTAAATCAAATGCAGCTAAACTGGCTCTTGATGAGCTACTTGCCTTGGAGCATACAAAGTCAAAGGCTTCTGAGATTTCAGGTGAATATTCTAGCAGCACCTAATTAGAACTTGAAAAGCTTGGCTTAAGGGCTTCCTATGCAGTGTCTCTGTGTAGTTTTCTTAAATGCTTCTGCATCAGAGCCTCTGTCAGTTTTCTTGAATCCTTTGGGCAGAGCTATTTGTCTTATGGTTCTGAAACTGGGTTTTTTTTCCCTTTTTGTCTTTTCTGCATTAGGATTTTCATCAGTTTGTAGAACTGAGCAGAGAATACTGAAGGCATGAATTTAGTTGTTGCGGTAGCGCTTGGTTTGCTACTCACTGGGTAACAGCAATGTGAAGTTGATCCTAAGTGGTTTTGAATTTGTATGGTTGAAAGGCTTCAACACCCAGTAACTACTTTCAAAAGAATTCAGTTACCATAACCTTTATTTTCTTTTATAGTTCTACACTTACAGGGTCTTCAGAAACAGAAAATTCTTGGGGAATTAGAAACTGTAATTTGCTGGAAATAGTGAGAGATCCATATTTTGAAATTTCCAATGTCTATCACAGTTTGAAATTTTATTAAATTCTTAGATCTTTCCTGTACTCCTGCCAAGCCCCAGACTCCAGAAAACTCTGTCCATCTTTCAAGGATTTGTTTTGGTAAGGATTAGTCTTGGTTTTCCTTGTTGATTTCAAATTAACCAGCAAATGCTTGCTTTGCCTTTTCCCTCCACCCCCCCGCCCCCTTTCGTTTTTATTTTATTTCTTCTTTTAACCGATTTAGTAATCTGTGTGAAGTTTCTGTTATTTTAAACATCTGATTGAAGAACGCTATAAGAATGAGTGTCGCTGCAGTAGGAGATGTGTCCAGTGGTAGAACTGGCAGCCAAACCTCAGTAAATGGCTTGGATTCAAGTGGTGAATTGGTGACAGAGATAGAAACAGTATTTCTGTCCTTACTTGAAATACTGTGTGCAGTAGATGATCCAACTTGATCTATATCCCCTGTTTATTGTTGCGAATAATACAGGTATCAAGTGTTTAGGTATTCTTGCCCTTTATTTACTAAAGTTCATCCTTACAATCTTCAGCATCCCCGAAGTGTGTGTTGACAGTAATGCTTTTACCGTGTGTTTAGATTTGTAACTTGGCAGGTGGTTGACCATGTCTGTTCACCACCACCACGTCAAAATTTGTCTTGCTGGCTTTTCTTGTTTTATCTAGAAGGAAGACAGCTTGTATATCCAAAGCTTTCACGAACACTTGAAGAAGTATTTAACAGCCTGACTGCCGAGCATCCTCAGTGCCAAAGATGTGGCAGTTCGCTGGCTGCCTTCATCGTTGAAAAAGGTAAGTCTGTTTTGATCTTGAGTGTCGGAGAGTGCAAACCTAGGCTGCTTGTATTCCCAGAGAGCCTTGATCAGTGCATTTCTGAGCTGGTAAATGAATGGGAAGGGTAGCTCTCCTTCCTTACCTCACTCTGTTGGGGTGGCTCTATCACATGTGATATTCTGGTCATGCAGATATTCCTGACAAAGCATTTCCTTGCTCTGTGTCAAAGGGGAGTACGTCTGTATAGGGCAGTATAGGCCAGAGCAGGTAGATATGACCTGAAGGAAGCTGGAGCCCGTAGAGAACTTGCACAGGAGCAGGCTCCTGGCAGGAGCTGTGGTCCGTGCAGAGGAGCCCACACTGGAGCAGGTATGTTGGCAGGACCCATGACCCCATAGGGAACCCACAGTGGCCAGTCTGTTCCTGGAGGACTGTGATTCCTGGAGGAGTTCACAAAGAACTGCAGCCTCAGGGAAGGACCCAGGCTGGAGTGATTTGTGAAGGACTGTTGTCTGTGGGAGGGACCCCGTGTTGGAGCAGGGAAGGAGCTTGAGGAGGAAAGAGGGGGGCAGAGACAGGGTTTTAGGAAGAAGTGATGCTTCCCCATACCCCTGCACAACTTGGGCAAGGAAGAGAGGAGGTAGAAGAGTTGTAAGGAAAGTTGAGCCTGGGAGGAAGGGGCAGTGGGGGAAAGGGGGTCTTAGTTTTGGGTTTGTTTCTCACTAGCCTATTCTAACTGACAGTAAATTAAATTAATCTTCCCCAAATGGAGTCTATTTTGCACATGATCTTGACCTACAAGCTTTTTCGTGATACTGTTCCATAGAATCAGAGAATCTCTTAGGTAGGTGGAAGAGACGTTGAAGATCAGAGTCCAGCCTGCTGGGGGATGGGGTGTGAGAGAGCAGCTTGGTGGGCAGCTGGCAGCCAGACAAGGTTAATCCACCACGGTCACGTAACAGAAAACATTTTCTGTTTAGGTGGACATCACGAAGTTGTAGCTCTGGGAACAGGAGAATGTAATTACAGTCAGTGCTTTCAGCCTCATGGAAGGGTGTTGCATGACAGCCATGCCATTGTGGTCGCGAGACGTTCTCTGCTCAGGTGAGAGTGTGTGCACAGGTAGTTACCAGCTCTGTTGCAGCCAGTTCTTCACAGGTTTGCTTCTGCAGATGCAAAAAGTGCACTTGCACTTCGTAGTTAGTGCCTTCTGGATTATTTTCAGATCATCTGAATTGTTTTCATACATATGAATGTCCATGTATTTGTAAACAAATGCAACTTGTAAATAAATTTGTAAAAAATTTTGTAAACAGTGTTTTTCACATTTACTTAACGCTTTCTTTTAGATATTTTTATAGACATCTCTTGCTGTTCTATAATGAAAATCCAGCGAGGACAGAGAAATCCATATTTTGCAGAGCACCAGACTCGAAGCTGCTTACCCTAAAGCAAAATATAGTGATCTTTCTCTACATGAATCAGCTTCCCAAAGGAACTGCTCAGTTAAAAACACAGGTGTAAGTCCCTTGGTATTATCAACGATGTCCTAGTAAAGATTAATTTAGTTGCAATGATAAACATGTGAGTGTGAAGAACACGCATAGTTATGTGTTTATAAAGGGGGGGGGAAGACTCCTGTGATTTTTTTTTTTTCCCGTATTTTGGAAGCACAGGGTGGTTTTGATAGGTCTGAGATAAAGCTCAGTGTGACAGTGGGAAAAACTCTTAGATGGGTTATATGCTTTGCTTCTTACCGATACCTGCTTACCTGTTAACCCCTCTTCCAGCATACTCTTACAATACTAATAACCCGTTCATTTAACCACTGCGCAAGTGGATGTGGTGATTTAATGTCCTCCTCTGTACCACAGCCTTGAATTGAAAGAATAGGTTCCTACTTTGCCTTGTAGAACAAAGATAGAGAAATTTGATAGGACAAGTATACTCCTATACTTATCCTTACACTTGTAATTTTTGTTAAACTTATGAAGGTGTTTTGGGTTTTTTTTAATAGTTATGACATCTAACAGCAGCAGTCACTGGTTTACCAAGTTATTATGAACAACATTATTTTGTGTCCCTTACAATGGTGCAGTGGACTAACGTCCCTGAAAGTCAAACATACTTAAGGTTTTCCTATATGCAAGACAGCTCGCTGCTTTTGCAATCTTTGGGTTTTTGCAACTTTTTTTGCAACTCTTTGGGTTGTTTGGAAGGCAGACTGGTGAACTGAAAGTCTCAGCCTGTTGACTGCAAGTGGTGCTGGCTGGAAGGGCCCTTCCTGCTAGAATTGCAGGAGGTTTTGGGTTACTTTTAGCATCATGGCCTGCTCTTAGAAGGAAATGCTTGATGAGACTGAATGCAGTTTGCAAAGGACTCTAATAGCTGACAGATCACAGATTCATAACTTTTTCTCTTTTTTTTTTTTTTTTTCCCTCCATTCTGGTGTGTGCTTTCTTGGTGCAAAGTTTGGGAAGTATTTTCTTCTAATAAAGCAGATTTGCTTAGGTATAGAGTTACTTAAAGGTAGTTTTTAGACGGGAGCTACTTACAAGTAATCCATTGAGTAGCAAAACGTGGCCCTTTATTAACAGGCATTATATGTTGCTTAAGCCAAAATGAAATGGTTACTTTATAATAATGTAGTAAAGCAAAAGCACCTCTGATCATAGCATTGTAAGTTATGATAAAATTGGGGAGAGTTAGCTCAAAACTTCAGGCTGTGACTACTTACCCTGCTTAAGAGGGAAAAGTATGTTTTACAATCACTTTTGTCTCCCTGATGTGTTGCACCTGTTTGTTTTAACTTACACTGCAATTCTTCAAAATATTTGTGTTTTAAAGGAGATGAACAACCTTACAGCTGCCTTTTCACAATATAAACAACCCCCAGGTAACTTCTGACATAGTGTAGGTGGACACAGAGTGATAGCTTGTTTGTAGCATACGCTGATCTGTTTTTTTAATGCTTGCACAACTGATGGCTAAGATGAAGTAAGAAACAGTAATGCAACCTAAATACTGGTTTAGGTGTTCTAGTCACTTGAGCAGTTCAATGTGCTGTTTCCAAAATATTAAACCTAATGTAAGGTCTATTGATAATTCTTTTCTGAGAAATGGTATTAGATACCACTTTACAGTAATCTCTGATTAGATTATTTTCTTACCGAAATTCGTCTTCTTGTCTTACTTTAGACATCTCAATCCACGATCTATATCTGCGTTTGAAATGAATGAAGAACTGAGTCTCCATGTTGCTATAGAAGGCAAGACTTACCTAACGGTTTGTTGTCCGCCTGAAACTGTTAGGATGAGCAGTATGTCAGCTAGCGACAAGTTAACGAAGTGGGAAGTGGTTGGTGTTCAGGGAGCGTTGCTGAGTCACTTCATCGAACCGGTCTATATCAACAGTGTTCTTGTAGGTAAGCTCGGTGCAAATTTCAGTGGGCTTTGTGTATGTTTTCTTGCTCCAGTTTGATTACATTTTATACAACGTGAGCTTTACCAAGGTGGTTCTTTAAAGAATTACAGTATTTTTCTGAAAAGATACTCAGTGTGTGGATGGTTTTTTTCACTCATCTGTGAAATGCCTTTATGTAAAACCCAGTCAGGCTCACTTTTTTATCATTGTGGGTTTGTTTTAGCTGGCCAGCGTGCCCTTCCTTTGCTGTGTTTTAGAGCAGCAGGAGAAATTCAGCATTGTTTTATAACAGATTAAATTTTAGCGATTGAGAAAATATCAAGGGTGACAAATGCTGTGCTAGCTGTTCAGTCAAATACGGTGACTTTAGGATGACAGTGTTAGTCGTTTAAATATAGGAATGAGCAGTGGTGGAAAAACTGCCAGTATTGAACTGAAAATACTCAGTTTCACCTTGGAGTATCTTATGAGATCTAGTGTTCTGCACCCCCCCTCATCCCCCCTCCCCGCAGTGATTTGTATTGGTTAATGTAAATAGGTGTTATGTTGAAGAATAGGAATTACCAAGGGGATAGTGAATTCTCAGGATTTTGTGGCAGTCAGGAAGACAGTACTGTTATCAGAACTCATTTCAATAGCTTGTATTTATGTGGTGGAATTAAATTAATGGGTATTATCCTGAAGTTTTTCAGGTGTTTCTTCCTCTTGATACTTGTATTATGAGACTTAGTACAGAGGTATCTTGAAGAAGTAGCAGCTTTTCCTTTTCTAACACAGACCAAGATGTTTGAAGTGCTCCAAAATGTCTTGCAGAAATGAGTAAATACCTGACTGGTCCTTCTGAGGAAGTTCGGGCCCTTAGAAGCAGTAGAAAAATGTCCAATATGCTCACTTAAGTGGTATTCCAAGTGAACATGAGCATCAGTGGTGTACTGCCCTTCTGTTTCATAAAATCTCTGTGCCTGTTCCTTGAGGTGCTGTGGGCCAGAGAATGTGTGTTTAGTAGGCAGTCAGAAATACCGTTGCATGTGGAGTAATGGGGGCAAACTCCCTGGCATATTTTCTAACCTAGAACATTGAAGTCTGTGTTGCAGTTTCTGCCTTAATGGTGTCTTCTGCAAAGAATGTAAAGGGTTGATGAAGAATAATTGTTCCAACAAGGGGGCGCACAATGAAAACAGTGATGCCTCTGGAGAAGAAACTGACATAACTTTTGTTCTGCAAACTCAGTACTGGAATTGTTTTTTCCAAATTTTGTGTAGAAAAATGTATGTGAGGTAGAGCAGTGGAAACAACTACCTTAGGTGTTTCTGTGGTAGGTTTTTTTGTTTTGTTGTGTGTGGTTTGGTTTTTTTTAATTGATGTACTCACATGTGACTGATCTTGTTTTATCTGATAGGAAATGAAAATTGCATGGATACAAAAGGGCTAGAAATAGCTCTACGACAGCGCGTGGATGATGCGCTTGTATCAAAACTTCCCATGCATTACCTGGTCAACAGATCTCATATTTACTTGGTGAATGCTGCACATCCAGTACAAGTAGACTCTCAACAGAGGACTCTTAGTTTGAATTGGTCACTGTCAGATGCATCACTGGAGCTTGTGGATGGGTTAAATGGAAAAATCACTGTAAGGTTAGAAATTTTCTTTGTAATATTGGAAATAATAGTTAGTCTTAATGTTTTGTTCCTGTTCATTGGAGAATTCATTTTTTGAGCTATGCCTAGAGGCCACAGCATTACCCAAATGGGAGATTCTCTCCTATGTTAGGTGAATGCATCCTGTGATTAGATGTAATTTCAGAGATGATCTTGCCACTTTGCAGTGAAATACCAAGCTACGAAATTAAATAGCTCATTGAATTGAGATGTCTTTATTCCATTGTCTCTTGTAATGAGTGTTTTAATTTTCACAATAAATGAAACCACTGCCGATGAATTCCAGTTTGAAAACCAGTTTTGGGTTGGATTGTTTAAATGCTGACAACTGCTGAATGCATTCGCTATGCTCGTTGAAAGTGGAAGTAGAATTATAGGATTGTATTAAAAAAGCAGTAGAAGGGTAAAAATATGTGTGATCAAAGCAATGTACCTGTAATGTATTTGTTAGTGAGTTGTATTGTGCTTTTTTTCATTTTGACTGCAGTTCACCGTTCAAAAGTGGTGTTAACATGGCAAGTCGCCTTTGCAAGGCAGCCATGTTCAGTCGCTTCAGAACGCTTGCTAAGGCGGCAGAGCGGAGCGACTTGCTCCAAGTTGGGACGTACTATGAAGCTAAGGTAAGGTGGTGTGGGGAGGAGGGAAGCTTTAGTGAGGCTCCTTTCACAGCTGGTTTGATAGCCAGGGATGAGTTTCTGTTTTGCTGAAGACTTCCCTGAACAGCCGGATCTCCTTTGTTGCCTATAATATTTGCCTGAGAATATCTGGAATTGCTGTCTTCAAGGTAAAATTTATCTAGTGAATTCATCTTGAAACATTCTCAGTGAAAATATGCCATGTTTTATCTCAGTAGATGGAGGTTGCTGGCCATTTTCCTCAAATAAGATAGTTTCATATTAAAAAGATCGAATGGACAAAAAACCCTCCAATCTTTTATACTTTTTTCATATATATATGTAGTTAATTTTTCCACAGTGTAGTCTTGTGGGAGGATTCTTGTGCCATAGAGGAGTAGGAAAGTAGAAAAGACAGCATTAGGTCCCAGGCTTTCCTTTGTGGTATAAAAAACAGAGGGAAGTAACTTAAATGAGCTACTGTGATTCTTGGCTTCTGTAAACACAGTTCCCTCACTTCTGTCATGTAGGTTCATCTTATTCTCTGTACTCTTCCAGGTTTTTCCTCTCCTTGGTTCAAGAGAGATATTTTAGTTCCAAAATTGTTATATGAAATGTAAGCTTTCTTATGATAGATTCCCCCCCCCC